CATATGCTTCAGCTGTCGGAAGCTTGCAATATGCTCAAGTATGTACGCGCCCTGACTTGGCATTTGTTACCGGATTACTTGGCAGATTCCAGAGCAATCCTAGAACAACACTGGAAATTAGTAAAGAAAGTTTTGCGTTATTTGCAAGAAACGAAAAGCTTCATGATGACGTATAGAAGATCTGATTCACTCCATATAGTGGGATATTCAGATTCTGATTATGCGGGACATGGTAGAAAATCCACGTCTGGATATGTAGTCACCCTCGTAGGGGGAGCTATTTCATGGAAAAGCTCAAAGCAAACCGTCACTACATCGTCCACAATGTATGCCGAGTTTGTAGCGTGTTATGAGGTAACGGGGCAGGTGAACTGGCTAAAGAAGTTCATACCCGGTTTGAAGGTGGATGACGACATCTATAGACCACTTTAAGTTATACTGCGATAATAATCCGACAGTATAGTATGCTCACAACAATAAGTCAAGTGGTGCTGCCAAACACATTGACATAAAGTATTATGTTGTGAAAGATAAAGTCCGGGATCATGTCATAAGTCTTGAGCATATAAGTACCGAAAAGATGCTCGCGGATCCGCTTACAAAAGGCTTACCACCCAATGTGTTCCGAGAACATGTAGCTAGCATGGGTTTAAGGGAAAGCCTATAATTTCTGGATAAAAGAAGGCCCAAAGTTAAGTATCTATTTCAGAACAGAGTGGTGTATTGTAGCTGTTAAATCAATCGGCAATTAACCGTGACGATGAAACATGCTCTATGCGTTAATCTGTAATGGAATGAACAAAAGTAAATGATATGAAATTGAAAGATGGTAGTGAGATCAAGGGGGAGAATGTTAGTTGATCTCCACTAATAGGCCCAACGGCCTATTGGGCCCTTGGATCTGCGTCCTGATCGGGGGCGCCCAACCCTAATATGGTTGGTGGGCCCCTGTCGCACAGCACTATAAAGATAGGTGGGGATCACGGCTCTAACTACGAGGTTGACCGGAGCCGCCGTGACCCACCAACAGAAAACCTCACCCGATCTAAAGAGGGTGCTGCCAGCGACGGGAAGACCCACTGACTTTGCCGCCACCAACCTCACCGTCGCTTCACCATTGCCACTGGACCTCGCCACCACTACGCTGGACTCCACCGCGCCGGGCTGCCACGACACCGGCGTCGAAGCCGCTACGGCACCATGGACCGAACGATGACCTAGGGCGAGGTACATCAACAGTTTCCCTATCTAAGTAAGATGTTTACCCCTGATCTACGTTACAGAGGCACTGTGTTTACCCACACAAGATACTCAAATCCAGGTCCAGGACATCAATCTGGTTCAAACGGCATGATGTTGTTTTAGCACAGACTGCATGTGTTCATGACAGTATACTTCACATACAGAAATATTGCAAACAACCGATTGTGGAGAGCCAGGGAGATGCGCGAGAAGGAAGATCTCCCCAAGGGCTGGCGCCAGATTTCCCTTTCAAGTTCTTTGTGGTGGTGCTCATCTGCAGCTTTCCTTGGTTCGTGGTGCCAGGCCACCTCTTCCCGGATCAGACGTCCATCTCATGGGTGTGTGCAGGGTTTTCTCCAAGTCACTGACGGCACTCGGCACAGCAGCTGGGCTCCGGCATGAAGGGCCTTGGCCTCAGCGCCTTCACGCTTGACTGGTCGATCGTCTCGACCTTCCTCTCTTCCGGCTGCTAATCTCGCTCCTTCGCCACCATCAACATCTTCACTGGCCTTGTGTTATTCATCTACCTGGTTGTGTCCACAGCGCACTGGGGCCTCCACCTGTACAACGCTCAGGCATTCCCATCTTCTCTTCAGACTTGTTCACGGCAAATGGCAGGAAGTATGACAGTACATCCATAGTGAGCAAGAAGTTTGAGATTGATATGAACTGATATAGGAAGCCTGGCAAAGTCAACCTCAGCATATTGTATTTGTACTCTCTTATGGGTTCAGCTTCACCACAATTGCTGCCACAATCACACATCCCTTTCATGGAAGTATGGCTTCTCAACTAACAACATGAAAAGTGTGATTTATATGTAGCTTGTAAACTGAAAGATGCATGCATTATATCTGAATCCGAAGTACTAATGTCCAGCTAATCTATCACAACTATCCGAAGTACTAATGTTCTAGGCTAGGGCCTTAGAGTCTAACATAGTACATCCCAAGAAATGGCTGCAAGACTAGTATTGAACTTATGACACATTCTAGTTAAGTTAGCGATGATAGTGCTGTAGAATTCAGGCATGTCAAATAAACACCAGTGCAAACTACAATGATTCGAGGCTCCAGTTATTTTGATGTTACACAAAAGCATGCTATTAATAGTGCTATAATTCCTGAGTACTACAGACTAAATGCAGTTGGTTGTAGAATTCCTGAGTGCTACAATTTACTAAATCTCGAAGAACACCTCCAAAAACCATGCATCCCAATCTCAAACCTCAAATTTAAGAAGACCACCAGCAGCTTTTCAATAATTCAAGTGACAGTTCATTCATACTGAAAATTTGTTGTTTCAATTAGCTAGTTTTTTTTCTCTAAAACGCAAGTGTGTTCCGTATCATTGTATTAAGGAGAAAATAGAGGTTTTGGTTTCAATTAGCTAGTTACAGTATTGTTCTGCAGTCTGCATCAGGAAACAAGTAAGAATAACAGCTTATCAGAACAGATGACTGATGACACCAATTTAGCCATTACCGGCACGCAGCAGACTTAAATATATTACAATGGGCATAGAAAGGAAGCTGGGAGATAAGAGATACCCATGAAGATTGGGAACAGCTCGGTTCGCGAGTCGCGAGGAACGAATAAATCCTCACGCTAGGGGAGGCGGCCGCGGTTGAGGAGGCCGAGCGTGTGGTGCGCAGCCTCGACGAGGTCCCGGATGTTGTGGAGCGACCCCTCTTCGGCGCCGAAGAGGAAGACGGCTCGGCACTCCGACTTCTTTGCCAACCGCGCGGCGTGCCCCAGCGGCAGCTCCAGCGAGTTTAGCGCCCGAAGGATCTGCCGGTACAAAGACAGAACCACCGGACGGTTCCGCGCCAGATCCTCCGCCGTCGCCCAGATCATCCCGCTGCCAACACAGCCCTTCGCCATCCGCCGCCGTGCTCACCTCGTCGCACCGCCTGACTGGAATGAGAGGGTTTGGAAGCCGTGGGGGTCCAAACTCCAAAGCGAAAGGAAGATGGCGAGCGAGCGAGAGAGGGTGGCCACTGGGCCTGTTTGATTGCCTGGTCGAGGGGCTGGGCCAGGCCAGGCCAGTGGGCTGCAACTGGCCTTGTTTGGTAGCTTGGACAGAAAGCACCTCAGAGCCCAGAGAAACAAAATTGAAGTTCGTTTTTTATGGGCCTGGCTGCCTCCATGGCCCAAGTGCTAGATAGGCTCTCAGCCACCGCTGCTCTTTCTTGTCCCCAGTCCCCACGCAGTGCGAAGACGATGGGAGCGATGGCGTCGCCCTCCACCACCTGAGCACGGCTGTAGCGCTGGAGGGACGAAGCCAGAAAAAAATCTTCTCTTAACCCCCATGTATGCATAAGATCCGTCGCGCGTAGATGGTGGGCGTCGCGCGTAGCGCCGCGACACGCCGCACCTCCGCCGCTCGAGCACGGCCGTGGCGAAAAGACGAGGTCCGACGCCGTCGCACCTCCGTCGCCAGGGCGCGGCTGTGCCGCGAAGGTTCGCGACGACGATACGCCTCTGCCGCCCGGTCACGACCGTGGCGCAAAGACGAACCCATTTGCGCAGCGCGCCGCCATGGACGTGGAGGTGGCGCGGCGGCAAGTCAACGAGCAGAGCGCGCCGTCACGGCCATGGATTTTGGTGTTGGGGATGGCTGCCGGCGCGCCTTGCCCAAGTGCGGCGTGGGCGGGGCCAACCTGGCTACAGCTCGGTGTGGCGGCGCTGCATGGCTCCCACGCCATCGGAGGTGAACTTGCCCACGCCGACAATTGTTTGATGGAATGCCAATGAGACAAGCAAAGGAGAGATGGGTGGTAATGCTACCATGTTTTCAGTAAAGGTAACTAGTATCAATTTGTACAGGCTACCAAATCAAACTCTGAATTGAGTAGGTTGCACTTGCACCTACATGACCAGCCCCAGCTAGTCCTGGCCTAAACCAGCCACACCAGCCACCCTAATGCAGGCAAACAAACAGGCCTTATGAAAAAAAATGGGCTGACGTACCAGGAGCATGTGTTCCCAGACGTAGCCACGTCATCGCTCTCCAGAATTAGGCATCAGCCTTGCTCTCCTACCAGCTCCTACGAAACCGGCAGCAAAATGCGCGCGAGGCGGTTCCATTTGTGTCACCCCACTTCGATCGCGTTCCCAGACACAGGGCGAGGCCGTTGGGATCGCATCCGTGGAGGTGGAGGTGGAGGTGAGAACGCAGATTTTGGTGTTCCTGCTCTTGTCGTGTGTGTGTGTGTGTGTGTGTGTGTGTGTGTTTCCGATCCGAAGCAAAATTCAGCGTGTTATTCTCTTTGGCTGTTTCGTGATTATGTTGCATTTGGGGATTAGCTTGGTTGCAGATTGATATGTGTAGCTGATCGATGATGCTCTAGGGGATCCTGGCGCACTTGTGTGAATCTTGTTCATTTGTCTTGTTTGCCAATGCGTTGATTTTTTCAACCATGTACATTGGTAGATTCAGACATTTTAGATTTCCTAAAAACTGTGTTTCTTTGTTCTCTTCGATTCGTGTCATGGGCTATGGCTTTAGGTTATACAGTTATACTACTGCTCAAGCGCGCAACATTTCATCAGCAGCTCATTTATTGTAGACCGTATTTGGATGCCTACTAGCCATTTGTAGCCGTTGTTTCAAAAAAAAAAATTGCTTTCTTTTTAAAATTTAAATATGGCTTATATTCTTATAGAAGTTCCTTGTGTATTCATCCCACTTACTAGGCATGGTCGATCAAACTGTCGATTAATTCTTTTTGTCCCGCTTTTTTTTTAAAGGCAACCATGACAGGCACGGTAAAAGTCCACAATGTCTCACTTAAAGCATCAGAGCAAGATATTAGTGAGTTCTTTTCATTTTCTGGTGAGAGAGTACATGTAGAATTGCAAAGGTTAGTGTCATATCATCTCCAGGATATCATCAGTATAAACACATGCAATGCATAATTTGACCAGGAATGCTTTTGCAGTTGTGATGAGCGGTCACAATTTGCCTACATCACGTTCAGAGACAATCAAGGAGCAGAGAGGGCTATGCTTCTTACGGTATACTGTAGGATTTTGCATTAGTTTCCACTGTCTTTGCTACAAATTATTTATGATGATGATCATCTTCATACACTTTACCTATGAAATAAGTGCCTGCAAATTTAATATTATACACTAATTTTGTTGAATGAAAGCAATGATTACTACTAATAGTTCTCTTTTTCTAGATTTGAGTCCTGAACTGAATATGAATATACAGGTTGCATACTTGCATATATGATTTCTTCCATGAAACTGTCGTGTGTGATGTGTTCTTGTTATTGGTCTCTAAGTATTATATTTCCATCTTATATGTGATTTTCTTGTCTTTTACCTAACATAATATCTTGTCCTTTGTATTATAGGTAACCTTTCTACACTTATGAACTCTATTATGCAAATCCATGCTTTAATGCAGGGAGCAACTATAGAACATATGGCTGTCATCATCACACCAGCCACCGATTACAAGCTACCTGCGTCCGTTTTAGCTGATCTAGAGGTAGTAGAACCATGTCATATTCAAATCTCCCATTAGCAAAATTGCTTTCAACAAGCTAAGACTCCTAATACCACCAACTGCATTACCAGTCAAAAAACACCGGTGGCATGGAATCCACTCTTCAGAAGGCTGAGGATATTGTAGGTTCTATGCTAGCCAAAGGGTTTGTTCTTGGCATGGATGCCGTTGAAAAAGCAAAGGCTTTTGATGAAAAGCATCAGCTCACATCAACTGCAACTGCCAAAGTCGCTTCCCTTGACAGGACAATGGGCTTAAGCCAGAAGTTCAGCACCGGGACCTTAGTGGTGAATGAGAAAATGAAGGAAATGGATGAGAAATACCAGGTTGCAGAGAAGACCAAGTCAGCATTAGCTGCGGCTGAACAGACTGTCTCTACTGCTAGTTCTGCCATCATGGCGAGCAGATGGTCACTGCAGGCAAGTGCAAAGTGGCCTGGAAATCATGCTGCAAACCACATGATCTTGGAGGGCTGGGCGTCATTGATCTGCGGCGTGCTGGGGTTGCACTGAGGGTCCGATGGGAGTGGAAATGTCGGGTTGATCAAAGCCTGAATTGGTCCAGCTTGCATAGGAAAAAAGAAAAGATGGTGACTGCAGTTTTCAAGGCAGCAACGGTGTCCATTGTTGGCTCCGGGGAATCGACTTTCTTCTGGACGGACAACTGGATCGATGGCACAAGCATTCAGTCAATGGCGCCTGCGCTCTATCAGGCAGTTGCAGCAAGGCGTCGGGGGGCGCTGGTATGTGATGCACTACCGGGTAATGCATGGGTGCACCACATCACCGGAGCACATACGGTTCAGGTCATCAACGAGTTCATGCTTGTGTGGCAGCAAGTTCGGCACTTTCAGCCCTTGCAGGGAACACCTGATGTGTTTCGGTGGAGGCTCACACCGGATGGAGGCTACTCTTCGGCCTCGGCTTATGGAGCCATGTTCTTTGGAGCTTTGAAGACTCTTGGGGCAAGGGAGATTTGGAAGACCACGGCGCCGCCAAGAGTTTGTGCCTTCGTCTGGTTGGTAATGCACATGAGATGCTGGACCGCGGAACGGCGGTTTCGCCATGGCTTGCAAGACTCCAGCAACTGCATCACCTGTGACCAACTGCCGGAGACTATGGATCATATCATCTTGGGTTGTGTTTACAGCAGAGAGGTCTGGGCCATTCTACTGGCCAAACTTCATCTCCTGGATGTTGTGCTCGTCAATGAGGAGGATGTCATGGAATGGTGGCTGCGCAACAGAAAGCTCGTTGTCAAACCGGCGAGAAAGGGGTTCGATTCGCTCTTCTTCCTAGTTGGCTGGAGACTGTGGAAGGAGAGGAACTCGCGCACTTTTGATGGAGTTTCTACTGACGCGGCTGGTCTGGCTTGGTCGATCTTGGGCAAGGCCGAGGAGTGGTGTTTGGCAGGATACAAGCACCTCCTGTCCTTGCTAACACTGATGTAGTCTCCATGGGTCATTCCCGTCGCAAGCATAGTAGTATGTAAATCAAATTCGCTTGCTGCCCGTGGGCCGTTGTGCTTTGGTAATCGATGGATTACCATGGCGTTTATTTGTAATTTCGAGTAAACTATCTTCTCCTGCTTAATGAACACCGTGCCCGAGGCACGTTCGAGAAAAAAAAATGAGTAACAGATATATCCTTACAGGTGCAGCATGGGTAACTGATGCCTACAACAAGGTTGCAACCACAACAACCGATGTTAGCACGAAGACAAAGGAAAGGATGATGGCTGAGTGGGAGGGAGGGAGCCAATCAGAGCAGTGAAACCACAAAGTTTGATTCGCTTGAAAGCTCTGAAGCGGATGAGCAAGAGTGCAAGCGTCATGAAGATGATTCTAGAAACAACTTTATTCTAGATAGTCCTGAAATGACTTGTCAGGAGAGTGAGCATCAAGCGGGTGAACATCAAATGACTAATGTAGAAGGTAACTCAAATGGTTACAGAGGAGCAGAAAAATCACGAGGGTGAAATTGCAGTAGCCCACATGCAAGAAAACACTGAGACAGCTGAGAAGAATCCTAGCTGCCACGAGAGTGAAGTATCCAAGGCCAATGTTCATGATAGCGTTCTAATGACTGAGCAAAGTGAGCGCGAGCATAAGCAACCGGAAGGTGAATTTGCAAAGACCCATGTCCCAGGAAGCCCTGTCACTATTCCGGTCACCATGTCCACTATTGACGGGAACTCTAGCAACAGTCCCAAGAAGCCTGATTCTGCTGAGTGTTTTCTATGATATGTTATTGTAAATATAGATCGGGGTGGTGATGATAGTTTATTTCATCTCTTTCTATTGAATTTGTCATCCTTCTTGCTTAATTATTCACAGGCAATGATAGTTTTGTTCAGCTCTTGCAGCTAATTTTTCCACACTTTAGTGTTGTTTTCAGGCAATGATAGTTTCATTCAGCTCTTGCTGTTGAATTTGACATCCTTAAATGTCGTTTTCGAGCATAATAGAGGTTATAAAATTGTAGTAGCAACAATTTATTGTTCTCTGAATATTATTTTCATGAAGCTGCAACTTGAGTTGTCTTCTATATTTCTTTCCTTTTGTGATGAATTATTTTCAACCTTGCTCTTTTTTTTAAGGGAAAAAGGCAGTGGCGGAGCCACCGCCCGGCCACCACAGCCGGCCGCCCGGGCTCATCGGCGATTTTTAAAAGAAATTTTTCTCTATACCAAAGAAGCGCGCCGTAATTTACTAACTGAATACTTTTTGCACAATGAAGATTGCCCAGGCTCTCAAAAGCTTCTGGCTCCGCTACTGGAAAAAGGAGTATGGAGGGGAACCTTGTTCATGTCATTGTGAAGTGCATTATCCATGAGTTATTCATTTATCCCCTCTTTGCTTTTTGTTAGGGTTGCTGATGAGTAGTTTTGTCCTCACCCCCATTTGTAGAATTACAGACGAAGATTAAGGTTACCTCTGCATCTGAGTTGCATGTAGACAATGAGCTCTGCATCTGAGTTGCATGTAGACAATGAGCTTACATTCTATTGTATCTAGGACATGATTATCATTTAGTAGGAATTGATACGACACGCACAAGGTCGTCCCTTATCAACTCCGTGTTCTTCTGTCTTGTGCATAGCTGGTATCCCCACCCGTGGAGCTTGAGACAGTGCGTCTCGGACAACCGATCTCGTGGCCACGGAGCCGCCTCCTACAACCGAGCTGGAATGTGACCCTCCTCCATGGCATGGGTAGCATGAACGCCTGCTGCTGGAGATTCGGCGAAGACGTGGCACGGACGGCTATTGCTAGAGCCTTCGCGGGGAGGCACAGAGGGCTAGGGCGGTGTGGGGTGGGCAGGAGCAACATTGGTGCGCCATGTCAGTGAGACAGTCGCAGTTGGTGGGCGAAGTAGGGATAAAGATAAGAGGCTGTCTGACGGATTTATTGAGGCCTGTTTAGTCGTCCTATTCTGATATTCAGGACCAAGAGGTCCTGGATTCTCTTTCAAATAGGCCCTGAGAGGAGAAGAGAAGTTGAAATGCCAACGGACCTCTGTCTATTCTCTAATTTACCTGATCCGATAGTACCCGTTTTTGGAATAACATGTGGAATCTATTGACAGTATTCGATCTCTGTTTATCCAATTGCATTTGATTGAATCACTCCAACCAAATAAAAAATAGCTTATAAAAAATAGAATCGCTCTATTTCACCTAGCTCGTCTTCGAAACAAAGACATACATTTATTTTAAATTTTAAGATCGAGGATCGAGGTAGTATTATGTCCGAAGCAAAGGTGCCATCCCTCCCTGTCAAAAAAAAAAGGCTTCTGAAACAACGACAAAGCCGCCTTTGGAGGCCCGTGGTGGCCACGGCCTCGCACGTGTGAGGCGTGACGACAAGCGCACCGCGCACAGTCCTAGCGTCCCGTCCCGTTCCCGTCCTGTCCGCCGGCGAGCACCAGTTTCGTCAGTACCTACGATCGTCTGACAGCACCAGTGACGACATCCTCTGTCCAAACGAAACTGCACCTACAGGCCACACACAGAACTGAGAAAGTCAGAACCCTACCAAATTCCTCAACAACGACTGGTGCTTTGGACTTAACCGAGTCCAGATCCCCCAGCTTTACCTAATTCCAACGATACTAACTGCGGTGGTTGATCATATGGAAAAGCCCCAGGTTCGCTGATATATATGGTTGCCATGGATACACGAAAAGGTTATTGCTCACCCTTCTCAGCCTCTCAGTTACAGTTTCGCTGATTTCTCCTTTTTTTTAATTTAGAATCCAACTTCTCAGAAAAGCCCCAGGTTCTAAACTTTCAGTGGCCTTCAGCTTTTGGGTGCAAAAAATTAAACAGCCAAGACATGCATATACTATACCAGGAGCCTTCTCCAGAGGCAAATGTCAAGAACTGCATAATACTTACGGCCATGGCTATTTGTGGGTTTCTTTGCCTTGCACGGCTTACCATATATATCAGCACTATAAAATTTAAATTTAAGCCCTTTCTACAAAAAAAAAGTCAAGACACCAAGCTTTGGCGTTTTCACAAAATCAATAACCAGATTGAATTTTCGCAAAAAAAAAAAAACAGATTGAAAGCTGGGTCAACATTTCAACGTCAACTGGCTAGACTTTTGGTATTTCACGTAGAAGAAAACGGAGCTAGCTTAAGCTGTTCTTTGGGTTTGATTCTTCTCATTCGAAGCTAATCTTCAACAGCGAAGTAGAGCTGTAGTACGGATCAAACATTGCTGTTACGCAAACAGTGGCCTCTAGCCCTCTACGACATAGGAATTTTCATGTGAAATAATCGATGTTCACATGAGTTTGGAATCATCATATTTATTGTACGTATAAACTAGCAATTTTGACGCTTCCGGGATATTTTTATCCTGACAGGCTATATATAGTAGGCCTATGTTAAATACATTCATATCAGTGGTTAGTTTTAATGGCATATGGAATCTGTTTTATATAAAGAGAGTCAACATCCACCGCAAAACTTCGCATGATCGTTCACACTCGCTGGCTTATCTTTCGATTTTAGGCTAAAAAATGGTACCGGCTATTCAACTTAATCTCTCCATTATATAAGATGATTTTAGTTCGAAGCAAACTACTTAGTTTGTCCTAGTATAGATTTAAAAACAGATGGAGTATGGAAGCACGTGCCCATTTTATAGCATCCCCAATATTTTTTCTTAAACTCACACTATAAATTATTATTTGAAGAGTCATTCGAATAAAAGTCGCTCTCTGTATCTTTACATCCTTTAACAACTTCTTTATATCTTGTAAGTATTAAATACACCCATAGTGGAGTAAAATGTACTTTTTTTGTGAGTACTTGACAGCCCAAATATTTGACGATAAGCTTATTACTTGTAATATCTTGTACTCTATCATGTCCTTTTCTTTGTTTCCAGAATATTCTATCTGTGAGAAAGGTAGAGAAAGACCGTCGCCATTGAACATGGGAGGTGGTTCATCCCACCGGACATCTTTCTCTAGGCGGTGAAGGATAATCTAATGAGCACAAGGCTCTGATATCAATTAAAATTAAAATGATTAAGATTCACAAAAATGGAAGGGTGAGGGAATTGAGCTAATCTAAAATTCTTGCAAAATTAAAACCTATCGTTTAATCTATTTCACCCTAGTGCCTAAACAAGTGTTTCTAGTCTACCGCATAAAGTTTTGCAACCTAGTTCCAACCCTATTTATTTTATCATGACAATCTAATGTAAATTTCGTGAAAGTAAATACTCAGAATAAAGAGAGGATTAGCAACACATCGATACATATTATTAGTAATTCAGTATACCACAGTACCAGACTTGTCAAATTTCGTGGTTGAGCAACAAGAAAGTATGCCAATTTGAGCACGAAATTAATTGCCTAAAACAACTCATTTTACGTTGAGAGTTTAAAATCGAATAAACAGTAAAGCCAGCATTGCCACCTGCAAACTTCAAACATCTCGTTTTCAATGCTAAAACAGTTGGAGAGCCAAATGTTCAGAATTCTGTTGGTTTTCAACGGATATTAGAAAAAAAAAAGTTCAAAACTCCATTAGCCACGGTATTAGATCAATTTGCCTTGAAGATATGAAATAAGAAAAATCCAGAATTTCTTCTTTGTGATAATAATGCCAAAAAATCTCAAGTTGGCTCATCTGTCTTTCTTTCCCTTACGTTGATCATCAGAGGCCTCTTGATTTTTCTCTTCCCTATTTTTTATTTATTTTATTTTTTAACTAGTCAAAAAATAAAATAAAAATTTCTAGTGGTTTTCTGATAGAAATTATCCTGATGCAGGCAAACGAAACCGGTCAAAGGAAGAAACGGGTCCCTCATAGCTACTACTAATTTTTTTCAAATTACTCGGTACAGTACAAACGCTCACAATGCACACACATTTATCCCTATGAACGTACGCTCGTAAACCCCTATATATTATCATCTTCGAAGACTGGACCGACAAATCATCGAGATTGATGAAGTCAGCACATACATCTTGCTGTCGATGGGACGTCGCCTACCACTGAAAGAACAACGCCGTTAAATCCTTTAATATTCGCTCCCACACAAAGTTGAACACATGACCTAAGATGCTACAAGGACTCTTGTAACCACTAATGTGGCAGAACCATCTAAAATAACTTACTTTTGGAGGTGTTTGTCTTCCATTAGACACTAAACATCCCAAGAGTGAGCTAATTTAAACAGTTCTGTTGAGCACACCTCATGAGAGAACCCGAAAATCCACATTTTTCAACAGGATCATAAATGGGAGAATAAAGCTTATAATATTTTAGCCATTTCTTACATCACTTTTCATGTAACATCAGAGTATAATATTTATTGTTTATAACAGCAGAATATAACCATGTTATCAGAGTTTCACCGAAAATAAAATCATTTAATGACAAGTTAAACATTAACATGATGATCTGTTATATACATCATAATATGTTATAAGTTTTTTTCCCATTGTAAAAAATTTTGGGTGGAAGTTTCAAATAAACTCTATGTCCGCAACGTTAAGGAAATCCTCGCTGAGCCCACCAGGAGGTTCCCGCACACAAGTGTCAGCTCTAGCATCCACCTATCACCTGCAACAGGGTAGAATAAATCATGAGTACTCAATTGTACTCCGCAAGCCTTACCGTCGGGAGAAAAGAAAATACTCCAAGGATATGCAAGGCTATCTGGGTTATAGATTTATTGCATCTGCAGGAGCATTACTAAATGTGCGTCCTTATATT